TAATTTTAGGAAAAGTTGAAGGCAGCAGGAAAAGAGAAAGATCTAATATGAGATGAATTGACTCCATAAAGAATTGTAGCCAATATTAAAATGCAATTAACTAAAGGAACTAAAATTCAGAGAACAGAAGAATCTGGGTTTGGTGATGAAAAAGTCATGCAGATAATGAAGAGAGCTTTAGTGAGAAGAGTTATTTGAAAGCCTGGGGGACAGGACATCACAAAGAAAGTCCTCTCTCTCATAGCGACCATCTGAATTCTTGATTGATGGAACACACTGAGAAGCACTTCAAAGAATGATCTAATCACACAGGTAGGTATATTTGGAGGGAGGCATTCCTTCAAATACACATGTCCAAAGCCAGCCAGGTACAGTGCTACAAGTCAGAAGCGATGCTGTGTTTGTCCCAGAAACAAATTGGAAACCACTGAAGACAAGAGAAACTTAGTGTGTGTTGTACCTAACACCTTTGTATATTAGTAGGCATTATTACTTGCTTGGACATCCACAACACTCGTCAGCCATACAGGGATCAATCCGAATGACAAATGTAACACACATTTCAACTTTTAACAATCTATTCCCTATTCGTTACTCATTTACCATTTTTGTCTGCATTTTTGTTTCTTTTGGGAGAAGGAAAAGGACCTCAACACCATAAAAAGACAATATTTTTGCACAAGGCATTTCATATGTTAAATTTGTTCCTCAAATGTCACTCTGAGGGTTGAACCAGATGTGAATTTTATTTTATGATCGTTACGGTGCTGTGAGCCTTCAAGTGGTAACTGAGTTATAGCAACCCTAACAGAGATTTCAGGATCAGTGAGATGTTTGAGGAGTGGTTTTTCCTGGTTCCACATCCTCAGCGAGTTTCCATGGCAGAGCCAAGGGATCGAGCGAGGTCTCCTGAGTCCTCGTCCATTATTCCATCTACCACACAACATTGGATACCCCAACTTGTGAATAAACATACATATTTTATGACACACATAACAAAAACAGTATTGTGTTACTTTCAGTAAAAAATGTATACTTCAAAGTGTGCTTTTGCCGATTAAAATCCATTCCTTCACACTGATTTTATGGCATGTTTTATGATTTTATGAACTGTTCCTTATTTAAAATGTGCATTGCTAAGAACAGGGGGTGGCCTAATCCAGGATCTGTGAAATCATAATGGGTAAGCTCAGAAATTTTTGAGTTTCTTTTAATATGACTTAATAATTTTCTTCTCATTTTTCCTCATTGACAAGAATAAAGTTACAGCTTTTTTTTTTACCAGTTCCTGGAAAGAAACGGAGCTGAAATTGTCAGCATTTATCAGTCCATGAAGGAAAAAGAGCTACGTCTAGTCTCATAGGGTCAAAGTGGTCAGGTCTTTCTGGGCTACAGTATATCAGTTTCTTAGGCCCCACTAGAATAAATGGGACTCCTGCTTTGTTTTACCAAAGGTCCATTGATTCAATGGATCTACTCCAGTGGAAGGTAACAATTGGATTTAGGGCCCTGTCTTAAGAACTTTCCAAGTGCAGGATCAGGGCCAACTTTTCCGAAACTGTCAAGGTAGTGAAATTGACATATTAAGGTGGTATTTAATGATCACCACATCCTCCTTATAATCAAAACAGAAGAGAGTTTCCGCTTCTCATTCATTTTTAAAGGACTATTCAAACACCCTTTTATCTCCACTAAACAGCCTGCCATGTATTTGAAGACATTTTATTTTTTGTTTCTACAGACATCCAGGGGGGAAGAAAGAGAGAAAAGAAAAAGGAGAGAAAGAGAAAAGAGAGAGAAGCGAGTATTTTGGAACACTGATATATAAAGATGCAAAGGCTTATATGGCAGTGAATGACTTCAAACTGACTCAGACACATTCATCTTCCCGAGAAGAATTAGACTCAGTGTGATTCATTTTAATAGCAGAGGGAAAAAATAATACTACTGTGCAGTCGTAAGTTCCTAACCTTTGATGGTAGAAAAAGGGGTGGGGGAATAACTTTCTTTCCCCCCCCCCATGTTGTTGAAGTCTGCCTACCCATCTGTTATGTCCAGCTCATCAATTAAGGTGAACTCATGAACTTGGAGAAGGTGTTTAATAAAGACAGCAATCCATTTAAATGTGGGGAAACCGCCTGCAGCTTTATTTTAACTGAGAATTCAGTCCTTAGTCCTGTGTACTCGGCATGAAGTTTTTCTCATGTTTGGAACCGAGTCTTCTCTCACATGCAAAATCATTCCAGATGCACTGCTAAAGAGCTGGGTGAGAGCAGAAGCAGGGAAAGGGATGAGCAAAGAAAGAAGAGGTGCCATCTTTGAATCACGTAAAGGCAGTCTCCGTTTCTAACAGGCCGTCTAAAAGGGCATTGTCAGGGTTGGCCATCCTGTGATAGAGGTCTTCGGTGGCAGATTGCAAAGGCCTGACCACAGTCCTTTAGGAAGAAGACATTTTCACTAGGGGTAAATTATCATTTGAAGAGATGTGACCAGCCACAAGTCATAATTCTGACACTACACCATGAGATGAAGAGCAATTAACACAGACACTGAATACAGATTCTTACCATGAAGGTGGGGTAAGAAGTGCTGGGTATGCTCACAAACCTTTGGGGGGGGGGAAGAGCAGGAGTTACAACTCCCAAAGTCTTTCAGGCTGGGAGTTTTAACCAAAAAAATGTTTCAAAGCTCTACCCAGAAGCATACATATATGAATTCACCACACCATGATTTGTAGTGAGGCTGATCGAACCACTGACATAAGACTTGTTGAATTCTACGGTATATATAATGGGCCAAGCACCATCGGCAGAAATTGGCAGTCATATCAAATACAAGGGTTTTTACAGTAGGCATCTTGATTGCAGGACAACATGGTTGTTGCACCTCACTGAAATGGGCTGTTGGTTTAGTGTTGGGGAGTGCTGATGGAAGCATCTGCAGGAGGAGTCATAGCTTCCCTTCTAAACCTTGCCATGAACCCAAGATACATAACACAGTTTAATCTATACTGTCTAGGATATAATCACTTCTGCTTTTATAGGTCTATCTGTCATGTACTTTTCAAGGTGTAATCTGCTGAAGCTCAACTCGGCCTAAAGTGATAATGTATTCGCGAAGGCTTTCACAGCCGGGATCTAATGGTTGTTGTGGGGTTTTCGGGCTCTTTGGCCATGTTCTGAAGGTTGTTCTTCCTAACGTTTCACCAGGGATAATGTTTTCTTTGCTTCCAGATCCTAAATACATGGGACCTAGTTGTGGACACTTCAGTGCCTTCCTATAATTAGCTATTATGTAAGTAACACAACTTTAACCACTGACAAAAACAGCTCCCTACCTATGCTCTGAGATGTTCTCCTTGGCCTCAAGGCAGAATTAAACACAGGATCATTGAATACATGATGTGCCATGAAAGGAATTGGAATGTACTGGAGATGTACAACTATATTAATAATATTTATTTATTTATCTAATCAGTCATTCAATTTCTGTACCACCTCTCACATCTAACTATCCTGTAATATGTATCCTGGAGCTCAACTTGACCTTAAAGCTAAGGCCCTGGGGATATATTAAGCTTCATTGTGAAAACTGCTTTGGGTTTTTACCTTGGATTTTCAAACAAAAATGTTTAAACTTGGCAACACTGTGTATATCAATGGTTCCCATCTTTGAGTAATCCAGGGGTTCTTGGACTTCAGTTCCCAGAAACCCCGGTCAGCAGAATTTGTGGTGAAGGCTTCTGGGAACTGCAGGCTATGAACAACTAGGTTACTCAAGGTTGGGAACCACTTGTCTATATCTTGATGCTCAAAAATTTAGTTGTCTTAAGATAGCTGAGTTTACTTATTCCTATAACTATAACAAGAATAATAAGATAGTCCATTGTATATTTGCTTCATCTGCTTACTTTGCAACAAGAAACCATGCATTTTCAAGAACTGGGCTCCTAGGAAAGTATCTTTTGACTTTGGGTCAGGAGCGGGTACCTGCCCCCACTTGTGAAAGAACCCTTTCAATTAAAAACCAAGAACAAAAATTAGATTATATTAATTTGAAAAATATAAAAATTTTAATAAAGGCTACATCTCTTAATTACAATAATTATTGTACCAAGTAGTTTTTCTTTAAATGAAACTCTTTATAATGCATAATTTACAGTATAAGTAGAACAAATGTCATGGCAAAAGTCATAAAGTACAAGACTTGTAGTAAAAAGGCATAAAATATATTATACATAAACCCCTTAAATAAACAAGGGAGAGTTGGACCCTGAACACAGGGCAAAACATGGCATAGTAACACCATGTAGGCACAGGTACTGTACTGATTGAAGTGTTTTTTTAAAAAAAACACGCTAGAGATAGTGTATTAATAGTATTTCCACCATTTTTTCTACACTATATACAGCTGTATTATGCAAAAAAAAAGGGGGGGGGAGAAAGAACATTGGCATCAAATGCACCAATTAAAACAAAGACATGCCAAAATGTAATGCTTTTCCAGGGCGCATGTGTATTGATTTGTTCCAATACACACAAACATGTTACAAGCGGATTAAGAGGATTTATGTGATAATTTTACAGCACAATGAAGTATTCCATATGTATTTCAGTCACAATCCAGTCAGTAAGGAAGAGCAGAGGCTGAAGCTGTCTCAGGTGCAGCCTTGGAAGCCCAATCGCTATCATTCCTGCTCAACAAGGGGACTAAGATAGGATATATTTTCTAAGGCATACCAGTAAATTGTGACAGCCACCAATTTGCCTGGTAGTATGGCAGCTTTTTTGTTTGTTTGAACAAGAAAAATCATAGTGAAAACATAAGAAACATGATACTCTCTGACTAGTCCTCCCAAAATGTTTGAAGAAAGCCAGAATTCCATGTACCCCCCCCAAAAAAATAGAGCAAGTGATTCAGAGTTTTATAAGGGCAGCAAGCCCTAGTATACATTTACTCTCATGGCAATTACATTTAAGATGAAAATCATAGTGAAAACATAAGAAACATGATACTCTCTGGCTAGTCCTCCCAAAATTTTTGAAGAAAGCCAGAATTTCCATGTACCCCCCCTCCAAAAAAAATAGAGCAAGTGATTCAGAGTTTTATAAGGGCAGCAAGCCCTAGTATTCATTTACTCTCATGGCAATTACATTTAAGATGAGATGAGGCACCATGTCTTGAAGCAGTTGGGCCTATGACTATGGTTGCAATACAGAAAAGTGACTTATTACTAGAAGAGTGACATTTTAAAATAGTAGTAGCCGTAGAGTGGATTTTGGTGAAAAACATACAATTAAAAATACCCAAATCTAGCTATATTTACGTTAATTTGAATGTGAATTAGTTTGTTTCGGATCTCGCTTCTCCTCTTACACTGCGGGCATGGTTTGTAGCTATAATCCCAGGAGAACACTGTTAGTCTGGTGCAGATTTAGTGTTCCCAGCCTCCTGAGAGAATTAGCAGCACCTCTGAGTTTTTTCTTCCTCCATGCTTGCACACAAGTTTCCCCTTGCCCAATCATTTTTGAAGCTAACCAAGGTGCTGAATTATCTCTGCACCACTGACAATACGAAGTATGGTGAGGTTCAAACCAGAATTTGCAATCATGGTCAGAAGCAGGAATGGCAAGCAATGTTATGGGTAACATTGGTGCAGATCAGTGGTGTAGGGCATTAACACCATGGTTACATCCAAACAGGGAAAGGTAGGAAGTGGCCAGGACAAGGGTATAAAAGTCTGTTGGATTCTGGTTGCTCAACCATTCTTAGGCAGCTGAAACTATTTATTATATCTGCACCAGGACTTAGAACCACAGCAGCACTGACTAAAACATACTCCTTTTCTCTAGAAAAGTAAATTTCCAGGGCAAAAGTCATTCTCTCTCTTTCTCCTGCACCACAAGATATAAAACAACTGGAGAAATGTTGGATGCAAAATAATTCCAGTTTGCTTCCTAAGGTGGCAGAAACAAATGCACTTTTAAAAAATTATTTAAACAGAAGAATCCATGTAAAAATAAAATATAACAATACCTTTTGTTTTCTACATCATAACCCCTCTTTTCTCCATGGTTTAAAGCAGCATGTCCATAAACTGGACTTAAGGGGGGGGAGAGAAACTCAGACTGTTCAATAAATATCAATAAGGATTACTGTAAGGTTAAGCTATACATAGTTTCTCTCAGTCCATAGATGTGGGATCCCCAGGAAGCCATATATTATATATGGAAGTCTTTCAAAACACAGTCTGCATCTTCAATAACCCAGAGTGGTCTTGATCTTAATAAATAGTTCAGGGCTGTTAACATCTTAGTACCCAGTTCAACAGACGTTTAAGTATTATTTATTATTATTATTATTTTTTTACTAAGGCTGATTTGGCAAAGTCTTCATAGACCTCTATTTTTGATGCTTTTTCTTCATTGGTTCAAACCTTCCTTCAAAAGCTTCGTTTGGTGCTTGCGTCCAAAGGCCGGCGTCTTTAGCTTATGTCTCCTTAAACACACTCAAACAGACAATGCCAGCCAGCCAGTCAATCAATCCTCTCCACTTTGCCAAGGATCCTTCCTTCGTACATTGGCAGAATGGCATCGTCATCCCAGATTTCTTCAAAAACAGCGCCGCAGTCAAACTCGTCACTTGCCTTTTTGAAGTAATACCTGGAATCAATAAGATAAACAGATGCAAAATAAATGAAGAGCGCTTGGAATTATTATAACACACATCTCAGTACACCCCTATTCAGAATTTCAATACACATTTCACAAGAAAACTCCTCTGCTCCACTCTCAAACTCTTTGTCATGCTTCTAGATGCTCCTGTAAATAAAAAAAGGATAAGAACAATTTGGTATCTGTTCTGCAGATATTAGCCTTGTTTAGCATACTGGCTGTTCTCTGCTAGCCCAGCCAGGAGTTACCAGCACTCTTACAAGAGGTATGGAATAAATGACATGCCCCCTTGCCCTGCCCTCACCAAGCAACCGCAAGTGGGACATTGCCTCCCAGTGCTGGAGCTGCCACTGATTGTGCTATCTTGTCCGAATTTCTTCATTTTTATTTTAAAAGCATCTAAGCCAGAAGTTGTCACCACACCCTATGATCAATGACCCATGCTTTGCAATAAGTTATGGGATACTTGCTACGTGCTTATAATAATGGCCAGTATACCAAAACAAAACAAAAGCCTGTAAGGTACAATTAGAGTAGGTCCATTAAATCAGTGGAGATTTGGTAAACCAGCTCCTCCATAAATTCCACTGATTCAGTGGGATTACTCCAGTTGTGACTTACTACAGTCCTGGGTTCAGCCTATATATCTTATAATCACATTATCTCATGTACTACCTTAGCCATCATCCATATAAATCCAACCAACAGCATAGACTATGGTTACCAGCAAGTTGGGTTATGAGTGATGAGTAAGACCAGACCCAGACATATGGATTCAATGTTGCTGCCTGCTGCTGAGGTACCATGTGTCAAGAAAGAGTCCTCAGGTGAAGATTGAAAGCTACACACTCTAACATGTTTTCGTCTTTGCTTTTACATTGTATTTGAATGTACCACAAACGATATTCAACAGCATACGGATGATGTGCTCCAGCCTTAGCTGGCAAAAGTTAATAGGTGGAGACAGTGAACTGCAACATGGCATGCTAATTTTAAAGCCCCTGAGAGAGGAATGCTAGTAAAGATGGCATTCTTATTTTACGGTATCCAAACTGCAAAATGAGATAATAGAAGTTGGGTGGAGCGGCTGTGGCACTCCAGATGTTTTAGACCTACCATGCCCATCTCCCCAAAGCAGAATAGCCAAAGGGTTATGGGAACAACTGGGGAATTTGCATGACAAAAACACCTGGATTTACCAAAGGGCCTGTGTTGATGAGAAGGACTTAGAATTCTACCATAGGCTTCAGTCACAAAATGGACTACATGTTGGACTGGGAAAAACCAGAGGAATTCATTACCTTAATCTGCACTTTCCCTGCCAGATTTTATTTTTAAAAACAAGGTGTATTATCCTGCTATTGCTCAGTTATAGATGGCTTCAGTGTGTCCTGACATAATTGTTAGAAAACAACTTTGCAGGCTTCAAAAACCACTCCCTCTGCCCACTCCAGCCTTCTCAATCTCAGAATTTAGCCATGGACAATTTAAAATAAATACTGTACTGTCTTTAAAAAGCCAAGATGGAAAAGAAGAGTGGATCAGTATATTGAAGTCCTACTGGATCCCAAACCTAACAATCAGGCAGATTTCAGCAGGACCCTGACTCTCTTTTTCATCATCATCATCATCATCATCATCATCATCATCATCATCATCATCATCATCAAGTAAGAAACATTCCCCCTCAATTTATTTTAATGTTGACAATGTTGCCTTGATCATTTGCGAGAGAAGCACCACTGATTTCATTTGGCCACATACATTTAACAGACTCGGATCCCATGAGAACAGGCCCTCCAGCACTGAACTGCCTTCAGAGTTCAAAGAAGTGGCCTGCATGCTTTTGACTGCCAATATCTCCCTTCTGGATATACAAATGCAAGGTCAGCTAGCTGAACAGCAAGTAAGAAGAAAGCTCTTGGAAAAACAACAAAAAAAGAGGACAAGCCATTTCACTGTAGAACTACACACATACACACACGTACACACAAACACACACGAATAAGAAGGGGAACTTTGGGGACATGTCTTTAAACCATTTATAGATCTTGGCAGCAGGAGGTTCAAGTTCTCCCTGGCCCGAGCATCTGATTTAAGATTTAAGGAAATAAAAATTAAAAACAAAACCCATCATTTCTGATCCAGCCTTGTGACCACCCCTGCAATTGGGGAAAAGCCTGTTAAAATGGCTTTCAAAGAAAAAGAAGAAAGCTACACATTGTAAAACTGGGAATATTTCGTTTCATTTCTGCCGTTTGGCAAAAAGGTCCAAACGGCTGATGCTTTCCAGAAGAGAACATCAGAAACAGAACATCCCCTTTCTCAAAACCACATAGAGATAGCCACATTCATTCTCAGAGTACTTCCTAGTGATGCTGACATCACACAAGCAATCCTGGCTTAGATGGCAATATTTTACACAGAAAGGTCAAGCATCAGTGTTCCGCTTTCCCTTTCTTTGGCTTGGGTTCGTTAGATCACCAAAGCTGACGCTCACACAGACCAAAAAGAAGGGAAAAAAGGAGCCCCTTCCCCTCTTGTGTCAAACAGTAAGGACCCCTCTATTATCCTGAATTAGACTGTTCAGCTTCTTGATTAAAGGTTCCTTTTATGCCCCCTTCCAGCATTCTTCCCTTCTCAGGCTGCTTAATTGCATATGCACAAAATGAAGGCCTTCTTCCATTCAGAAGGTTAGCATTTAGGGAGCCTGCTTGTCTACTACACCCCCCCCTCCATGCCACAGAGCCTCCTCCTTGCGCCCAAACTCATCTCCAACTCTCCCCAAGGAACTCTTTTGCCCCGGCCATCAGGAACAAGAAAGTATTCTTATCAGGGAAACGGAAAAATGGGGAAGGAAAAAAAGTGTGCAACTGCAGAAACACACACACAAGGAAATCTCTATGTTTTAAAATAATTTTGCACATTCAAAAGACTGGCAGGCAGGATTGAAAAGTTGTATTTCCTCCTGTGAATTTTTAAAGGAAGAATTGCTGTCTCCAAAGTTTGAACTTCCTCTTTATAAAGGAACTTTTTTCTTGCTAAGAAACTTCTCAAGAAGCAGTTCTGCTTTGATATTCAAGCCATCAGACCATACCCACAAGAGGTTTTCTCTATCTTTGATTAGGAAGATAACCAGATGACTTTTAAGATCAAATGAGAAAGGGAACACTGTTTAATTACAGTTTTGTTTTGTTTTTTCCCCTCAGATGAACTCCTTCCTGAATGTAAGAAAATCCACGTACTTCAGTGGGGCCAAGATTCTCCCACCGCTGAGCCTCCCTTTGCTGACCCAAAGCTAAAGCACAATGAAATGTCCTTCTAGAATCCCTTCAAGGAGTGAGCCAGGGTGGAAGGGGTGGGGCGGGAAGATGAGGGAAAACTTTGAATGAGGCACAAAAGGATTTTCGCTAAGGGTTTATCTCCTGCTTTCCAAGAGGATAAACAGCTGTAGCAATAACTTCCCCCTTGATCTTAAAACTCTGGCAGCTTGTGACAAAATTCTTTGTTTGAACGCCACATTTTATTTTCTTGTGGAGGAGGGGGGGGCAAAAACCTCCACACACTGTGACCTCTTCCATAAATGCACCCTTATTTCTCACAGTGAAGGAAAAGAGGTGGGAGGGAATGCAAACTAATATATTTCCCTGGCCCCAGACCTCTTAAAACACATCAGGCAGTCCTTCTTTGCTCATAGTACATGAGCTCTCCACCAAATCCTTAATGTGGCAAGTTTTGCTTTCTTTTGCTCTGCTCTTCTTTTGCCTACTCCCTCCTTTCCCCCATTCTACATCTGGCATCCATACTGGCTACAAAGCTTGGCATTACTGCTCCTTCTCTCTTTTTTGAGCTATTGGTATGTTACCTAATACTACTTTGTGTGTCTGTGTGCAAGGGAGACAGACAGACACCATAAGGGATGTGGGGGGGGGGAGAGTAAAGCAGGCATTAACCATAAAACAGAGAAAGATAACAACAGCCCATACCTACCCCCAAATGCATGCAGGATCGCACTCCCCCAGTGAAAGCACCCTTAGAAACCTGAGGCACCAAAGTTGCAAAATGACTCATTCAATAAAGAATTTTGAGTGTCAACCATTTATGCATGTCTTTGTGCGTTAAAATGAAAGGCCAAGGCTTCAAAGGCATGCTTATTAAGAGTGCCTTAGAACAAAATCAATGCCAGATGTGGCCAGAGCCACCAGCCAGTCCTTCTCTAAGCAATCCCTGATTCTCTGGGCAGTGCGACCCTCTTCCCAGAAGGTCACCTGCAGTTTCACTCTAAGCCCAGCCAGGGGGGAAAAAAGGTGGGTGAGGGAGGGAGGGAAATCAAAGCTTAGATCAAAATGATTCCCCAGAGGGGTGGGTGGGGGAACACATTTGGATAATTAGTTTCACCTTGCGTCGGTAAAAGACCAAAAAAAAAAAACCCCAACAACAACACACACACACACACACACAAACAGTGGGCTTGTGCCTAAGCATCTTTTGTACACAGAGGTTCTGTACATCTGAGCCAGAAAAATAAAAAACTCATTCAAGCAGTCAATTTGAAAAAAGTCAGAAGCTTAGAGGCTCCCGTACTGCTTGAGCGGCAATAGCTGAGAATCTTATGAACCCAGGAACTGTAACACCACTGCTAAGCCTCTTTAAGGGCATCCTGTGACTTCTTAATGGATCTTTTGAGAAGAAGAGTTTCCACTTTGCTTCCACAGTAGCCACTATTTTGTTCAGCAGGCAAACATCACGTCTCCTAAAGCCAAACCTTTTACGTATTTGTTTTATTACATTTTTTGTGCCACCTTTCATCTAGGGAAGGGACTCAAGACAGCATGCTCACAGCAAAGAATGTGAAAACGGGCCAAAGCTTATGGACACCAACTCGCATGCGTTCTTCTTTGCGCTCAACACAGCCCGTATTCAGAGAGACCAGACTGTGTAGAGCAAAAGTGGAAAGCATCGCATGGCTCTCTATGAGAAGAAGCTGAGGAACTCCAACTCCCATCAACACCACCAAGCACTGCCAATTATCTGGGATGGATGGGGAGAGGTCTAGTCCGACAGCATGTGGGGAGTCAGATTCTCTGTTCATAGAAACTCAGAGTGCTGGAGAAGGTGCGAGTCCAGTCTGTCTGCCTGGCACTTTCGTGTTGGACATTGCAAGGTAGCAAGGCCTATGTGCACTGAAGAACGTATCACTCCACCATATAACCACCAACAGACTGTACAAAGATGGTGCCGCAGGGCCCGCATGTGCAAACATTATACCTGGAAGTATATACATCACACCCAATACATCAAGATCTTACTCTCAACAGCAGAGTATCCTCAGCTCTTGTAAAACCCAAGGTAGGTACTAAGGTCAACCAAAGGGCAGCCATGGCAGACTCCAAGGAAGTGTCTGCAGGTTGTTTAACTTTATCTTTAAAGGATAGCTAGCTGTCACCAGAAACCCAAACTGTGCATGCTTGATTGTAATAACATGTGAATTGGATATGTGAGAATGGACTTTTGGTATTTCCAGGATGTATACACTGCTTTTAATAGGATATGGTAATATTTCCAAAGCAGTTTGCAATGGTATTAGCAACACAACCTCAATAAAAGAAATATTCATGAAGCAAAAGTCAACAAATGGAAAGGTTGGGGTTCTTTTTTTAAACAAAATATCTACAAAAGCTGGATGAAGCTATCAAAGCAGCACTAAAGCAATCCTAAACATCTTGACAAATAGAAAGGCCTTTGACTATTGCCAAAAATCTAAGAATGGGTCTTTCTGGTGCCACAAAGTGAACATTCCACAAAGCGAAGGTCCAATCCTTGATCTCAGCCCACCACAAACCAGATGGCAGAGACTCATCCAAGGGGCCCCAGGTTAACACCTTAATACTAGGTGGACAGGTCCCATGCTTATAAACAGAAGACACATCTCAGAGGTTCCATTCTCTGGGCAATACTATGGACACTGTAAACTCAATGTGTCCTGCATTGACAAAGCCTGGAGTGGTGTAATCACCATCCATACTAAGCAAATTCCAAATTACCAAGCCAAGGAAAATTATTTTTGTAAACTCAGTGTAAATCATCCAAACAAATTAACTTTTGTGTAATTGTATCAACTTCCAATATATATATTTTTTCTTAGAGCTTCAGGACAAATTCAGATTGTAAGAGCAATGGAGAATGGAGGCTGACAAATGACAGGGAGAAGAGACAGAAAACAGTGACTATGCAAGCAATCAGAAGACTGATTCCCAAACACAGGGGTGTAGACATTCTGGGACTAGAACATCTGTAAATTCTAGGTAGCACAGTCAATGGTTAGAGTTTCTGGGAGTTGCAGTCTGAGAAGAACCGGAGTCCAAGTTTGGCAACCGCTGGATCAGAGATCATGCTGTCAAATGAAGTCCCATCTATTCTTATCTGGCTTTTGAGCCACACCTGCTGCTCATACATTTCTCAAGTTACTCTCCATCATGCTTAGGAGGGCAAGAGATATTGACATTCTGCTTAAAAAAAAGTTTGGACATATGAGCATTTGCTGGTAAAACACACCATTCTAAATGAACATAGCTTGCTAAGGGGAAGGTGGACAAATTTGTACTCTACACAGTTACACAGGGAACACCAAAGAAGGGAATACACATTTTTAATAAGAGGGTAGCGCTGAAAGGCAGCCCAAATATATATTATAACAATGTCCTGCCAATTCTATTTATTCTCTTCAGGGTTTGGTATCTTCACAAGATAGCAGATTCTAAATTTACAGAACATACTGCTACTCTGGTTTGCAACACACCTGGTGAATTCTGCAGTTTGCACCTGGCATGCTGAAAAAAAATGCAGCACCAATCACACCCATATTCCAAGACGACCGTTTCCTTTCACAAGCTAGGCCACAACACTTTATTCTGCCTCCATGGACAAACAGGACTTTGGCTTCACATCTGGTTGTTTACTTAGCCTTGGGCAAAAGAGCCTATTCACAGGAGGAACACATTGCAGAACCTACTTACCCCCATGCACTACTTGTAAATAAGACACAGAGAACTACGATCTAGAGCTATCACCAAGCTCCAAGCTATAAGACTCAATGATAGGCAACGTGAGTCTCATATGTATCATTGTTGCATTGCAGCTGTTTAATGTGTAACTGATCATTCCCATTTTCTGGGTCCAAATGGCAAAAATAAAAAAAATATTAAATTTTTTTTTTAAAAAAGGCACAGAGCAAGGATGCTGAGCCTCCAGAAGCTTTTGTCCTACAACTCCCACCTGTCTGAGTCAGCTCAGCCAAGGGATTGTGTGGATGACAGTGGAAACTGCAATTCGGAAACCTCTGCAGGTTCACAGTTGCTCATCCCTGAACCAATCACCTTCTGAGACATCAATCTGGTTCCTCAAGAAAGAGCACCTCTCATAGCAGTGCCACCAGGAAGGATCTAGAACTTGAGAGAACCGTTCCCATGCAAGCAAGAACATGTGCTTACATCTGCTCGTAAAAAGGTAACTGTGTGGACAGCGAAATAATGAGGTCCAGCCAGCAGGTGAATCCTGGTTTAGCTGCCAGTGCAACCCTTTCACTTCTCCACTAGTATTGGTTTTGGTGGGGCAGAGCTCAGAAAGAGACGGGTGAGCTAGCTGCCAGCAACCTTCAAACCACAACCTCCCTTACTGCAAAGAAAAGAAAACTTTCCTTTGCAGTAAGGAAAGGATGCTCAGAAATATCTGTCTCTCGGTTATTTTGGAACACAGTCTGGGCAAATGCAAGGAAAAGAAGAAAGAAACCATGAAGAGGCTTACCTATAATTTCCCTTTTTACTCAGCTGTTCTTTAAAGTGCCCGAGTGTCAGGCTCTGGGCCTTTAACATCCTCCTGTATGGAATTTCTTCTCCACAGAAAAAATAAGTGACGACCAACTCACTGGGCTGGGATGAATGAGCAACAGGAAATTTCTTTGGTTCTTTGTGACTGAAAAAGACAAGAAAGAGGGAGGGAGAGAGAAAAACAGGTAAGACCTCACAAAATTTAGAATGTAGTCAATGTAGTTAAGAGTACACTTACATGAACCATGAATAGTTAACTAACAATTTATAGTAACTGGAAATTAAAATAAAAGCAAACCTTGACACATTTAAGAGCTCAGTGCAAAATCAACACTGCTGGTTAGTATGTGGAAAGACTGGGATGGCAGTATTAAAATTCAGAGTATTAAAAAGGAAGGGCCATGGAGGGTTTTGCAGACACAAATAGATCCAGTTTGAATCATCAGTCTGAAATCTATGGAAGAGTGTCAAACTACTACTGTCCTTATGGCCAGAAAGTTTATAGGCAGTCACCACTTGAAAGGCAATTTGCTTCACAGGAAAAAAAAGCAATTTGCCTTTCAGGAACAAAGACCTTGATGGTATGATAACAATGCATTCCTACACATGCCTACTTAGAGATAAATCACACTGACCAGGATCCAATGGTGCGCATCCACTGAAGGAAGCAGCTCAGTTAGCAGAACTGGGGAGGATCCACTCTCCTTTTCCAGATAGCCTTGATGGATTCTCAAAAGGATTTATACCTCAGGGTTCTCCCCAGTCCTTTGCAACACCTTAAATTCTGTTCTAGTGAGTGTTCTAGCCCTATAAGGAAACCAAAGGGTGTCTGTAGATTACCTGGGGACAGATGATAGGAGGGAGAATTACGGCGCTGACTGAACTGCTTCTGTTAGAGGATGGTTGCTGAGTTCAGTAGGGCTCATTCCCAAGTCAGTGGGTACAGGGCAAAGCCTCAGCCTCTTTCCAACAGCCAGTTAAATTAGCCTGGAGAACTGAACTGTCCCCTTCACCTGCCTTAAGAAACTGTTGCCCCTGTCAGGGACACAAACACATAGGTCCCGTCTGGAAGCTGAACACTAGGGCTATTCAGCCAATGCTGCAACAGCTGACTCAACTTTAGCACCACCCACAGTTTTCTTAAGCAACAGTCTAGCTAACAGGTCAGTTGGGACTCTGCAGCTTGCCCAAGGGCCACATAGGGTGGCTCTTCTCCCTGGAGGCACAGTGGGGAACTAAACTCCCAGCCTTTGGCTCTCTAACCAGCTTACCTAACTCCCTGAGATATCCAGCCAGCAAAGTGAATTGCCATGACTCAACTTCCACATGAATTGCTACTAGTTCAAAAAATAGTGTGGTGAATAAAGTGGCAAACCAGGTCTCAGGAGATCTGGCCTTGAATCCCTGGCCATGGACATTCAACGGGTAGGAGCAGAAAAGGTAAACCCACTCTTTAAATATGTCACATACCTCAAAAACTCCATCAGTATTGCTATATGATGGATACAGCTTGACACCACATAATGTAAGAAGTTAATGCATCCATTTCTCATCACCCACCAGTTGCATGACTTGGTACATGGTGAAAAATGTAAACATCAACTTCACAATAATATAATTTAATTCCATCAAGCTTACGTCAACTGATGGCAATGTTTTGTAGTGTTTTCTAGGTACAGAGTACTTAGACATGATTTACCATTCTCTTCTTCTGGGGGTGCACGGGGACCATATTGCTTGTCCAGGACCATACAGCCTGGCTCTTCTCCTATAGGGCACAGTGGGGAATGGAAATTCCCACGTTTGGTTCTGTAGCCAGTAGTCCATATCACTGGACTACCCAGCCATTGTTCACTTTTTAAGTAGTAGCAACTTGTCACTGCTGTTTGACCTGAGCCAGTGTATGCAAATAATAGGATCCTGGCCACTAATAAGGAAGATGTATTGAAACAGCCCAAGGAATGCATTATTCATAAATGGTCAGCATGTTTCCATAATGAGTTTCAGCAGACTTTCATTATTGGCCCTTCATCTGTGCTTGGAGTTGTATTTCACTTATGAAAATATCTAGCCATTTTTTTAAACTTCTACACTTCGTCTTCCCTAATTTTTATATATCATCTATATCTATATCTATATCTCTCCTTTAGTCTAATACTTTTATGGGGAACTTGAAAGATTGTACAATTTTATTGATCCTAATAAAAGTATTCCCTGACCTTAGGAGTCTAGACTTTTTTAAATGGACTTCCTTATTGGAGAAGTACACAAACTATTGCCCTCCAAATGTTACAGGTCTGCCACCATCCTTAGCAATTTGCCATGTTGCCTAGAGAGGCTGCCTGGACAAGTTACTCTCTGACCTAGAGCAGGGGTGGGCAAAGGGCAGTTCTCCAGTTATGACTGGACTACAACTCTTATAAACCCTAGCCTGCAAAGCCAGTGATAGGAAATAATGAGGGTTTGCAAGCCTACAGTACCAAGATGGTCACATTTGTCCATCCTTGTCCTGGTGCTTAGTTACCCCTCCCTTAATTTCTTTTTGAGTCACGTATAGGTGCACATATCATAGAAGAAACAGGAATGAAGATGGACAGTGTTTTCTGAATCACAGGGAAGTATCTCTGCTCTCCTCTACACAGGTATTTCCCCATTTTCTTACACATTTTCTTTCCACCATAACTAGAGATAAAATAATCAATGAATATGGAATCCCCTGCTCATATGAAACTCCATGTGAGTCCTTTAAACATTTGGATTATGGAGCTCATGGTTCTCTGCTCCACAGTAAAGAAAGACAAGAACTTAGCCTTAGGTATGGTGGAAGATTGGAAACAATATGTGTTTCCTTGCCATTTAAATAAATATGGAGGCCCCTGCTCGTATGAAGAAGCTCCATGTGAGTTCTTTAAATCTTTGGGTTTTCTTTCTCTCAGTAAGTCAAGGAAAACACCATCCATTCCTCTATACTGGTATGAATGGGAAACCCTCCTGCTTCCATGGAGCATCACATGCACATGAGTAACTGTTGGGTCCAGCTAGAGATCTGCTCCCTTGCATCCAGGTCTGGGACACACCTACAGCCATGCATATTTCTGGAGGCTTGAAACCTTGGTGGAAAAGACAGGAGTGGGCAAAAGCCAAAACCTCCTTATACCTTGGACTCCTGAAGGTGAGAGATCATCTTACAGAGTAACAAACAACTCAGTTACCCAGAAGAATAGCAACAGGAGAGGGGGGGGGCTTGGATGCTGTGGGGGGGGGCAACATCTGAGGCAACACTGACTTGGCATGTCAAAAGGTCAGAAAGTGTTACTCCACAGTAATTTACTCTTCCTAATTCGTTCCAAGTCTTTGTAGAGTGGATTCAGGAAGTGGGGGGGGGGAGCTACCAGTAAAGACAGCTGGTGGACTTAAGGTCAACCAATTAAAAATGAAAGGCTATAGTCAGGTGGCTTAGCCTCAACTTCAAACATTACTCACTGCTTAAGATGAAGAGCATAAAAAAAGAAAACTTTAATTATTTAGACTGTAGTAGATTTCTTGTTAAAAAGAACTATCCTGTAATTAGACTAATCCAATCTTTGGCCACTTTAGAGGAATGCAAGCTTTTTTTTAAAAAAAAGAGAGAGAAAGAATCAAACGACAAGGCTTGAAACTGTTTTGTTCTCCTTTCACCCCACCAAAAGGAAAAGAAAATATTAATCCACCGAGAACAGTTTCATTTTCAAAGCATCACTCCACTGATAAAATGTACACACACACGTGTGTGTGTGTCTGTACGTGTATACACAAACGATATACAAGTACAAAGAGACCCAAGTACTCTGTCCTACATATGGCAACACTTACTCTTCTGTTGCTGCACCTGTGCTGCAAAAGGGACCATTTCCTCCTGGCACCGAGGTCAAGTGGTTCCGATCCCTCAGCTGATTTGAAGCTGAACATCTGAAGTTTGAAGTTGCCAGAGAGGAGGAGGGGGAGGTGGTTTGAAAAAGAGAGAGAACAGAATGATCAAACTTCTTCAAAATCCTTTCTGTACATCGAAAAACTATATCTACTGAAATAGCCAAGGGAAAAAATGCTGAGGATACTGAGGAAGACCAAAATACCCCTGCATCTCCCAGTCCAAAGCAGCACTTCACTGGATTTTAGAAATGCAAACTTAGCAATTAAGGAAACACACACATACAAAAACATGGCTAAAATGTGGGATTATGAGACTGGGAGTGTGGTTATTCCACAAAAAGGAAGCCATAGGTACAACATGTAATTCTATAAATCCCAACCTATAAGATGAATATGAACAACCTAAAGTAAAGCTTGAAATTCGGAAGGTTCTCTGCAAACCAAGCCATTTTTTAAAAATAGCCATCTGTTTCTTCTCCATCTTAAAGGGTTTCTGTGATGTTTAACAGAGAACTAAAAAGATGCATCCTAGCTAAGAAGTCCCTAGAATGCCATTGTGTGTTAATGTATGAATGAACATCACTGCCATCGTGGGCCATTTCCTACACAGCAGAGGTGGGCAATTTCAAAGAGTATGGGTGGCAGTTTTACATACTAAGCCACACCAGTCCTGGAATTTTAAAAATATTGACAAGTCAACCTTGAAATCCTCTTTTTCTTTTGTTTTCTTTTTGGTATCAATGGGACCAGGCAATTCAATACCTCATTTTATTGCCCACCATGCTATAAGCCATTGAAGGACTAAAATGGACACCATCTATACCCCACACGATGAAATAATAAAAGTATGAATACATTCAGGGTTTAGATAGTAATTTTTAAAATGTGATCAATGGCTTTAGGCGTTACATTCTGGAAGACATCTACCATGGCCCATCTTCCACAAAGTGTGTGTCCGTTCTAGCAGATACAGGGCTCAACAGGGCCCTGCCTTCGTGTACCCATTCAGCAAAACCTGTGGGGAGTTACCGTTGTTTCTGTGGCTTGGATACTTCTGCTAGCCTGCGGCAAGCTTCCTCTAGCTGGGCCAGAGTGTTGGGGGGTGTCAGCGGGGGCATGGCAGGATCCTGGACAAAGGGATGGGCGGGCTGTGCGCCACGGGGGTGGTGGTTGTTTCCCCACAGGTGGTGGCGGGCAGGACGTTCCCCAGGCGTGCCACTTCTAGTGGGCTCCGAACTGCAGGCTTTCTTTGTGCTTTGTGTGCTGTGGAGAGAAAAGCAAGGGGACGGAGGCACAAAGTTACAGAAGCTGGAAAATATGGCTTTTAATAGTAGTTTCTATTCCGTGTGGACTTACTCTAAACACACACAGAGAGAGAGAGAGAGAGAAGGGGAAAGAGCAAAGAAAAGTCTGTCATAATATGAAATGGGGCTTTTGCCAAAAAAAAAAAAAAAAACAAGACATTTTTGTGGCTTTTTTGGTTCCATGCAACCACTTTCATTTNNNAAAAAAAAAAAAAAAAACATGACATTTTTGTGGCTTTTCTGGTTCCATGAAACAACTTTCATATTGAACCCAAGGAAGCAAAAAGAGGTTCATTTGTTTTTGGTGATTGTAAAAATAGAAAGCCGTGTAATAGATAAATATTTACCAGTAGTAGTAGTGATGCAGGCAGCTCATATTTACCTGTGGGGCTTGTGTTTGGATTGTCTTTCGCTCTCCAGCATCCACTGCCAGACGTTCTGAGAGCGGTCCGCCTCCCCTCCAGGTAGCTGGACGCACGGTGGTATGGAGAGCCCTCCTCCTTCTCCACCTGGCAGGACGAGGCCATCTGGGAGCTTACAGTTCCTTTTCGGGAGTGACCCAGTTCTGCTGAGGCTTCCACAACAGAAAGGAGAACAGCACTTAAAAGTTTGCCTTTTCCTGGCCACTCTACTCTACTTTACGCCAGAAATAAGCCTATCATTACAACCCAACACCTCTTCTCCCTCTACCCCACTCCTCTCCCAAATTCTTGGCTCACAATCTCCATTTAAAAGAAGGAAAAAAGAAAAAATTCTGCCCCGATTCACATGGCTATGATCCAGTTTTGACCTGCCTACACACACACGCTCATGGCCAGCTTCATTTAAATGAGAAAACTCATCCTTCCAACAACAACAAAAAAACTTACCCAAAAGGCTCCAGCTGAGCCACAGGAAGATCTGCACCCTTGGAGTGCCCCTTGCACTTAGAGTAGCCGTAGTAGTCACCACCGCTAACACACAGGCACTGGGCTCGCTGGGCTGCCTCGGCTTCTATCTGCTCTTTCGTCTTGGGAATGGTGTGGTGGTGGATATAGTGATGGTGTACGTGCTTGGTGGTCTGCTTGGTGACAAATCCTTTGCCAATAAGGGCGCAGCCCGTGGGAATGGAGGTTGCGCCGGAGGCCAACAGCAACTTGCCCCCCGGGAGGCGGTCTGGTGAGCGTGCGCGAGGACTGTGTCGCCCCATGCCAGGAGACTGGCACCCGGGAGTCTTCAGCACTCGGGAGAGGTGGTCGTCGAGGATGGCCTGAGGATCGTCCTCACAGCTGCCGGAGGACAAGAGAGTGAGGGGATGTGGCTGATGCGGCAGAGCGGCAGCTTCCCGGCTGGTCTGTGCACCGGCTGGTACATCAGATCCCTCCTTCTCTTCATCCTGCCAAGGACAAAAAGAGGAAGGACAATCAAGCCATGGGGTTGGTAGGACTAAATAAGGGAGGTCAAGGTCATTTATTTGTTTGTTTAATGCCAAAAAAAGGCACTGAAGGCAGCCAGGAGGGACAAAGCCAGATTAAAAACAGATGCCATGAAAACCTACAAACAGATTAAGAACCCATGAACGAAGAGAAATAGCGCCCTATCAACCAGAATTCCTTCAACCACAATTCAGCTTAGATGCCACAGGCATCCCTGAATGAAAAGATTTTGGCAGGCTAACAGAGGAATAATGGGGGGATAAACTTAGCCTCCTGTGGCAAGGAGTTCCACAGCCTGGGAATGGCTAAAAAGAAAGCCTGGTCTTGTGTCCCCACTAACCATCCCTCCGAGGGTGGTTGGACCAAGAGCATGACCCTCCCTCAGTGAGTCTGAAACCCAGTTAAGCGGCTATGGTGGAATATAGTCTTTCAAAAAGATCTGGTCTCAAGGCTTTTCAAGTCATAACCAGCACTCTGAATGGCGAGCCAGAAACTAACTGGAAGCCAGTGAAGCTGCTGAAACAAGGGAGTCACATGTTCAGATTATTCCCTTGCTACAATAGTCTGGCTATAGAATTCTGGACCCAGTGGTGTTTCCAATCACTCAGCAAAGGCAAACCCACCTAGAGTGTGCTATAATATGATCTGTGTTTCTGCAGCTATTATGCCATTTCTTCACATCACCCAGAAGAGGAAAGAACAGACCTGTAGAGTCAGGTTGGTTTGTTTGCTTACTTGTTTAAATATACCTGGAGACCGCAAGTGACCATGAACTAGGAAGATGCAGAGAGAAAGATTCACTGATCCGTGGGGTTTGGCATAAATGCAGTGCCGCAAGAATCAACAGCATTTACTAACTCTTCAAATTACAGTGGACTATTCCTCTGCACCTGTCACCCCCAAAGTCATGCTTCTATCCACGCAACCACCTACTCGCTCTCAGGCTTCTCTCCCCCCCCCGCCGCATCTTCAGGAAACGGGGGGGGGAGGAGCACAGCAGGCAACTGTGCTGAAAGGGTTAACCCACCTACCTCTGTGATTTGCTGTAGCCGCTCTTCCAGGCAATCCATGGTCTCTTGCTCTCGCTTGAGCTTTTCCAAGCGCGAGATAAGCTCGGCGGCAAACGTTGCGGGTTCCACAGGGGTCATTTCCTTAGGAAGACGGTGGGTTCTCTACACAGAGCGGGGACAAAAACAACAACAACGAGCCATGTTTAGCGGGCGGCACCAGCCCGGGAAGCTTAGCTCGCGCGGCATTTCTGGACCCGTTAAGCTTGTTGTGTCTCCATGTTTGGATGAAAAGACGACCGCAACCAGGCATGGTCTGCTCTGGATTTTTATGAGCGAGTGCTGTGGCCTCATGGAGTGACATCCTCCCCAATAGCGTTTGCCTTCGGCAGGAGCAGTTGGTCGCACTCCGAGGAACCCTGCTTGTTCTCTCTGTAGTACAACCAGCCCATCAGTAGCTACTCTGAAGTAGAAAATCTTCAAAGACTGTTGTCAAACATCAAATGAAAAACTCCGAGGTGGGAGGGAGAGACTTTAACTCAAGGAATAAAAGTGGTGTATAAACAGAAAGGAGTTGGAAATTTAAAAAAAAATAAGATGGGGGAAGAAAAAGGGAAGGGAACTGAGGGGGGGGGCGAGAAAAAAGAAGTCAAACGGTTGCAGATCAGAGAAGTGCTGGTAATTTATTTCCTGGCTACACACTGGGCACCTTTGAGGTAGTGTTGTCTCAACAGTGTCCTAGATCTCTCTCTCTCTCTCTCTCTCTCT